CCTCCCCCTCCCCCCCCTCCCCACCCCCCCCCCCTCCTCCCCCCTCCTCGCCGCCACCCCCCTCCCCCCGCCCTCGTAAAACGCGCGGATGTCGAGCTCGGAGCAAAGGCGATCGCCACAAAGGCCACGACGTCGCGGCGGAGCAAAACGCCAAAGAAAAGTCGGAGCCATTAGTGCTGTTGCTGTTGTCGGCGCGAGAGGCTGCGACAATTAGCTAAGCCATGCGTGGTCTGTCAAGAAGGTGAAGAGAAAGGGAGAGAAAGAGAGAGAGAGAGAGGGGGAGAGAGAGAGAGAGGAGGGAGGGAGAGAGAGAAAGAGAGGAGGGAAAGAAGCGAGGAGAGAGGAAGGAGAGAGAGAGAGAGAGAGAGAGAGAGAGAGGAGGGAGGAGAGAGGAGGGAGGAGGAGAAAGAGAGGAGGGAGGAGAGAAAGGAAGGAGGGAGAGAGGAGAGAGTGGGAGGGAGGGAGAGGGATACAAATAGATAGACAGAGAGAGAGAGAGAAGCGGGTGATACAGAAATGAGAAGATAATGAGAGAAAAACGACGATAATTTCACTATCCAACCCGCTTTCTCCATTCACATTCCCCATAAAACCAAACTTCAACCCTAAACCAAAGAGAACAAACCCAAGCTCATTCCCGTGAAGAGATACCTAAACCCCCCCCCTCCATACCTGTAGCAATCTCCAACCTCGTGTAAATACCTTTTTTTTAATCTATAGAATACAAATAAGTCTCCAACCTCATGTAACCTTTTTTTTAATTCGCAGCCTTATAGAATACAAATAAGTCTCCAACCTCATGTAAATACCTTTTTTTCAATTCGCAGCCTTAGAATACAAATAAGTCCCAACCACATGTAAATACCTTTTTTTTTCAATTCGCAGCAGCCTTATAGAATACAAATAAGAAACCACATGTAAATACCTGTAGCAATCTCCAACCTCGTGTAAATACCCTTTTTTTCTAATTCGCAGCCTTATAGAATACAAATAAGGCGCGTGATTGTATGGGCTCGCACAAAAGCACGCGGCCTTCGCTCACTAAACTCCCGTTACTATCACAAACCTTTGTGTTTGTGTCTCCATCCGTAGTGTTGGGGAATCTGTCAGATTTAACACAATGTTACGGCATCGAATAGCTTTTCCGTATATAGTGATATTTATCAGCTGATCGACAGCTGATCGAATTAAGACAATTAAATCCACTGACCCGGATTCTTTCTGGTCTGTGATGATAAACTACGGGGTCGTGATTTACTGTTATTGCAAATTTCTCGTTGTTTTTTTTTTTTACACTACGTATTTTTGGGGGCGATTTCGGTGTGTCAGTGAATGGGGTTTTAGGTATGTGTGTTGGGTTGGGATTTATCTGGCTATGGCGAGTATCACAATTGGTATCACTGTCATTGTCGTTTCGCTGTAATTGTCATTGGCATTGTCACTGTCATAGTCATTGTCACTGCCATTGTCACTGCCATTGTCATCGTCATTCTTGTTGTTGTCAACATTATCATGGCCATTACTATTATCGCTGTTATTGTCATCATTATGATCATTACTACTGCTACTACTATCATTATATTTTTCATTACGACTACCCACTATTATTGATAATAACAAAAAAAATAATGATTACATAATTGACATGATGATAAAATAACCAAGTAATAATGATAAAATAAAAAATGATAATAAACAGTATAGCAATGATGATGAAAATGATAATGATAATATTACCGACAATGATAATGATAATGATATTAGAAATAAAAATATAAATAAAAATGATAATAATAATAATAATAATGATATAATAATAATAGTATAGATAATAATAATAATAATAATAATAATGATAATAATAATAATAATAATAATAATAAATAACAATAATATGTAATAACAATAATAATACCGACACCAATAGCTCATAATAGTAACGACAAGAACAACAACAACAAAACAACACCAACGAAAACGGAATAGTACAATACATAATACAATACATAATAGTAATGATACAGATAAAACGATAACAAAAGACAACCTTTAATCCTTAAAGAATGGTTCACACTGAGCGTCCAATCCGCGTTGCCAGATATTATCCATGTGTATAATTTTCCATTGTTTTCGTTCTCTCTCTTTTTCGGATAATAGATTAGATTTCATTTCAGATGAGAGAGAAAATAAATTAGGGTGCCATGAAATAATGATAATTTAAAAAAGAAATGTATTTTTTTTTTATTGTTTTTTATTTATCAAATATCAGAGAAGGGAAATGTATCACGTGATTTTAAAAATACGAAATCAGAAAAAAAAATTATGTAAGGTTGTGTGATGTAGTTTGTATTGATATGGGTAATTAAAAGGCTGATATATGTGTAGTATGTAAGAGATTTAGCTTTTAATTAATTTTCTTTTTTTCTTCTTCTTTTTCCTTTTCTTAAATAGGAAAAGATGGTGCATGGTAAACTTGCCTCTGTAAACACCATTTTTACATACACTTAATACGTTTAATTTAGCCCCAGGTAATACATATGGTTACACTCATACATCATACACATTAATTATATACATATTAATATGTATGTGTTAATTTGCATGCTGAACAGATAAGCACAGCCTTTGACTTGATAATTATAGGTCGTTATGCACGTTGCTCGTATTTTGAAGCTCTTTTGCATAATAAAGACAGAAAAAAGATTGATGGCTCTTTCCGGTTCATGGAGCGGCCAACAGTTATTACCGAGGCAGTAATTAACGCAAAATATTATTTGATGTGAAGGTTTGAGCGAATCGTGCTGGCTCTGTAAGTCGTGGGTTTCAAATGGATAAATGTGAATAAACAGAATTGTAAGGAAAGGATAGTGATAATAATAATAATGATTGGTAGTATCATTATTATTATGATGATAATGATAATAAGAGCAATTATAGTAATAATGATAATAACAATAACAATAATGATAATAATAATATTAATAATAACAATGATAATGATAATAACAATAGTAGTTATAACGAGAGAGAGAGAATGAAAAAGAATGAGACCAAACACGACAAAAAAAGTCTTTAAGAAAAAAAAAAAGTCTTTAAGAAAAAAAAGTCTTTAAGAAAAAAAAAAAGTCTTTAAAAAAAAAAAAACATATATCCCAAAGTCCAAAGCCGACGTCCTCGAAGTCCCACTGACCCCCGCCTTCTGCCCGCAGGAAGACCGTGTCCATCAACATCATCGAGGAGGACAGTTACGAGAAGGACGTCCTATTCTACGTGGACATCGGCGAGCCTCAAGCCATTGGAGGTACGAAGGGCTTCTCTTTGTCCCCGACGGCACCGCGGACGGCCCTGTCCCGGCTGCGAGGCGAAGGGCGTGGAGGGAGGGGGGGAGGGGGGAGGAGGAGGGAGGGGAGAGGGAGGGGAGAGGGCGGGAGAGGGGGTAGAGGGGAGCGGGGAGGGGAGAGAATAGAAGGGCGGGGAGAGGGGATAGATAGAGAGAGGGGGTAGAGAGGAAAGTAAAGAGGGGTAGAAGAATAGAAGGGGGAGATAGAGAGGATAGAGAGGATAGAAGAGGGGGGGAGGGTAGAAGAGTAGAAGAGAGGGGATAGAAGAGAATAGAAGGGTAGAGAGTAGAAGGCGGCGTGGGATAGAAGGGTGGAGCAAAAAGGGGGCGGGGCTAATGGGCTAAGGGAAAAGGAAGGAGAGGAGGAAGTTGGGGTAGGATTTTTTCTTCTTCTTTTTTTAGGATCTTGGATAGGATGTCTTCAGGATAGTTTGGATAGGAGTAAGGTGGGGTTAGGGTTAGATTAGTTAAGTGTAGGATGAATAGATTTTGTGTGTGTGTGTGTGTGTGTGTGTGTGTGTGTGTGTGTGTGTGTGTGTGTGTGTGTGTGTGTGTGTGTGTGTGTGTTGTGTGGATGATCGCTATGGGATATTTTTAGGTTTGGTTAGGTACTGTATGCTTGGATGTTCTTGGATTATATGAATATTTAGGCATACATGTAGACATATATACATAGTATGTGTGCATCCACATACTAAGTATTATATGTACGCATACATATTCATATACATATTTCGTGTATGAGAGAGAGGAAGAGAAAGAGAAAGAAAGAGGAAGAGAGAGAGAGAGAGAGAGAGAGAGAGAGAGAGAGAGAGAGAGAGAGAGAGAGAGAGAGAGAGAGAGAGAGAGAGAGAGAGAGAGAGAGAGAGACAGACAGACAGACAGATAGAGACTGGGTGATTAGATTAGCTAAATAAATCAGATAATTATCTCACTTAATTCCTTCTTATTTTTCAGGTGTCACTCATTAATCAGATGAATAACAAATCGCTTAGTAATGTTGCACATTTTAAAACAATTATTAACAAAGCGTAATTCATTTTCTTCTGATATATTTAAATCTATATCAGGAAGAGCTACTGTTTAAGAGGAAGCTGCTAACTTGCATTACTGACTATTTTATAATATAATCTGTGCTAGAAATAAAGAGCGTATAAGTATATTATCTTAGATATATATTAGATTATCATGACTTTTTTTGTTGCTGAAATTTAGATTATACTAATTATTGAATTTATCCTACTCTTTATTATATTTTTTTCTTCTTCTTCTTTTGGAAAATATATATTTTTGTAATTATTATTTACTGTCACTTAAAAATTAAAGGAATAACCCTTTGAAGAAGATTCATTTCAGTCTGCATTGCACAATATGTTTGAAGGTGTATTTATGTGCTTGATATTTCTCTTATCTTTGAGCATAATGCATTCTCCTTTATTCATGAGATTTACCCCTTTGTAGTTTTAAGAGAAAAATTATATATATATATTGCTTCAGAGACTATGTCATGCTATTACCTACCTCCCTTGCATCGGTTGTTGTAATCAGTATGTAGGTGTTATACCCCTACTCTCACTAGAATATTATTAAACAAAAGATCTTTTTTCTCTTCACTCCCTCCAATCTATTTCACTATGGTTTTCCTGCTTTTAGTTATCCCAATTGCATCACCAAAGTAAAGCACACTTATAAGTCTAGTGGGTCACTTAGAATGGAGTTTGTTCACTTCCCGACGATTTAGAAATCTGTCTCTCTAGATTGACCAACACCATTAAATTTCCTGGCGTATCGAGTGCTCAAAATCGACCCCTTTTAGTGAATCCGCTGATGCAATACCTCTCTGGTTTCCGTTTCTATATAATCTAATGATTATTTTTCCCCCTCTCTCTCACTATCTTCTCTTCATCGCCCTGTGTATAAATAAATCCAATTGGTATCGCCTGTTTTCCATTGATGTAAGTGGTTCATAGTCTTTGTTGAACAATGAATGAAGGAATGATCGCTTGCCGGTAGAATGTTCACCCTTGTTTCCCTCTTTGGTAGTTTTGGTAGTGGTAATACCTGCTCTGCAACCCTCTATTATTGCCCCTTGTTGCATATCTCTCCACATGGAAGTACACCCTATTGCCCATGTTTAATTTGCCTTCTTCTAAGACGTGTTGTAGATACGGGGATGTCCCCTGGCAATAAACACGGACAGCTGACCCAAACTAGCGGATAACACCGTTGGGTGAAGAGTGTCGACCCGCATGGCGCTGGTAGATTAAAGCACCTCTCCTCTGTAAAAGACCAAAGTGTATTCAGGGAAGGAAAAGTAAGACATAAATAAATAGAAAACAAAAGATAAAGACATAATGACGGTCGTGATGATGCACAACAGGTGAGAGTATTTGTCATCTTTGCAGAGGGGAGGTTTTCGTGAAGTGTTTATGAAACCAATTTACTGTCATGCTTTATTTTTTTTCTTTCTTATGGTTCTTGGTAAAATAGAAGTTTATGTTTATCTTTCGTCAATCTATATGTTCAGAAACACTTCACTGAAAGAGGTTGTTGTATAGTGTGTCTACCTTCTCTTCAAGATTATAATCATACATGGTTATGCTTCCCACCTGAGCACCCGTGAGCTACCTGTTCCTAATTAACTATTTCACGGAAGAAAAATCCTTTGCTCACGCCATTTCAAATCACCACAAATCAAATGTACTTCACTTGCATTATTTCAGAGCTAGTTTTCGTTTCAATTTCTCCATTTTCTCTCAAGGCATTTAAAACACCCGACTTTTTATTGTTGTTTCCTTGCATTCTAGGCACGTAGAAACAGCAGAGTGTCAAAATGAATGTGACTCTCAAGCAAATCCGTAAAAATAGAGAAAACATGGAAAGGGGGTTTCAGGGGAATATTTTAGTCACCCCTGTTGACCCCTTCCAATGTAGAGTCTAGGATATGCATGTCCCAAGTCCCACTGCTTCCTGAATATTCAAGTGACTTAGCAAGCACCTTTTTTTCTTTCTTTTTTTGTATAAAACCATTTATCATTCCACTCATTTCAATATTTTTTTCCATCTTTTTTCCTCATAACTCTGGTGCCTTTTTCAAGTAAAAAAATAACTTTTGTAATTCCATGCAGATACTCCGGAAATTAAAAAGAAAAAAGTGAAAGAAGGTATATTTTTCCTATATTATATTACTAAGATGTATTTTAAAAATCTTATTCGTAGCCAGAATTCCAGTAATATCCTTTTCTTGAGAGCATAAGGAACCCACATCCACACATCTGCATTATTATTGGTAGTGTCCCTTATCACATTATTTATTTCGTTGTCCTTTGTGTGGTGTTTGTACCCCCCTTTTGGTTTCATTTTTCTAACACCACGTTTGGTTCTGTTTTTGTGTGTTATTTTGTAGTTTTAAAAAAATGGCAGAATAGGATGTAAATATATGGTAAGGTTTTAGAGTAAATCAGATTCTGTATTTTATTTATTTGGGTTAACAATAGTTGTTGTTTGTAAATTTATAGATATCGTAAAATATTATTTTGATATTCAGATATTTACTTTTGTGTTTAACTGTTTTTTTCTTCATGTTACTATAGTCTTTAAAGTTGCTAAATAAACGAACTTCTAGTTACAGAATCTTTAGTATGTACAGTAGAAGTATTATAATATCTCTGCATGGTAGAGTCGAGTCAGATGGTATTTTATCTTAGGTTGTAGTTTAAATGTGTTTTGTGTCTTGTTGAGATTTATTGTAGTAGAAACTTGTATCATACTTGGATGCTATACTGTGGGATATGATCTTCTAGATGAATATAAGCTCACATGTTATAAGGCTTCGTGAGACACCTTGTGTACATGCACTTTCCATACTGAGGCGAGCGTGTGTGTTAACGTGTGGACATGTGTGTATGTATGTATATATATATATATATATATTATATATATATATATATATATATATATATATATATATATATATATATATATATATATGATTTATACGTACATATATACATATATATATTATATATATATATATATATATATATATATATATATATATATATATATATATATATATATAATGCACGTTCGAACGTATCATACACACGTATATGCATGCAGACAGGCACACCTCTATGCGCACAAATATAATTATATCTCTCCACCGCACATCACGGCCATATAACGTGTGAGCTCCCTTAAGCCAAAGAGAGAAAGCAAAACAAAACAAAAAATCAAAACACGAGAGATTTCCTTCTCGCTAATCCCGGCGCCGCCCTTTGCAGACATCGAATTCGACATAGGTTTCGAATTCGCTAACAAGGAGAGCGACCTGACCGAAGAGGAGAAAATCGCCCTCCTCGGCAAACCGAAGCTCGGCAACTCGACCCGCACTCAGATCAGGGTCAAGGAGAACAAGGAATACAAGGTAAGCGAACGTGTCTCGGACTTGTTTCGGAGGAGGGGAGGGGATGGGGTTGGGAGAGGGGGGTGGGACACGTGGGTTTGTTTACGTGCGTGTGGGTGTGGTGTGTGTGTGTGTGTGTGTGTGTGTGTGTGTGTGTGTGTGTGTGTGTGTGTGTGTGTGCGTGTGTGTGTGTGTGTGTATGTGTGTGTGTGTGTGTGTGTGTGTGTGTGCGTGCGTGCGCTTGTATGCGTTGTAAATGCGTTTCTTGTGGAATGGCTATAAAGTATCAAATGACTTCATGTATATCAAAAAATAATATTCTCCCGATGACGAGAACATAACTCTTTTTTTATATAAACACACACTTTATTATTGTCCACGTACAAAAAACTTTCTTAAACGAGCTGCCTTGCTTCCTTCACTGTGTTCCTTCCCTTTGGTCTAAGACGCATTTTACCTCGTCTTAGCGCTTGCGTTTTATATCACACAAATTCCGTAAAAAACGAGAAGCGACTTTTTCTTGTATATTTTGCTGAAGGAGATTGCTTGTTCCTTAGTCATTGGTTCTTTTGCTTTTTATTTCATTTATTACTATTTTTCTTGTTATCTACACGTTTATTTACTGTCTATACTACGTTTTTTCCCTATTGTATCTTATTTATTGGTTGTTATTTAAAAATATGTGTATTCTCCTATTTACTATTTACTGCTTTAGATAAATTCTAATTTTTGTGAATACAAAAAGAAAAAAATAATATAGACATATTTTCTGAAAGAGAACTGCATTTCATTTGTAATTTCAATGGTAAATAAGAATTTCAATGAGAATTCAGTACTCTGTGGTTTAAAATAATGTTTCAAAAATTTTATTCAACGAAACTATTAGGAAAATGTCTTTTTGGAGATTTTTTTATCAGATATTTCAAGTATACTACGAGAAATAATAGAAAATCAGTAATTATTTATTTAATTCATCAAAGTTCTCTTAAGAAAATAGCGTAATAAGATATATTTAGTATTTGGAAAAATGCATTTCTGTGCCGGTATATTTCCCTCCCAAGTCAGAATTACAGTTGAATATAATATATATATATATATATATATATATATATATATATATATATATATATATATATATATATATATATATATATATATATATATATATATATATACTTTTTTTATTTTTATCAACCAGCATAATAGTAACAGTAGCACTACAGTTCCGTGCATTGAAAATTAGTGGTGGAAAAATATCTTTGTGAAAGGTATTCATGATTATATCTGCACATACTATAAAGATTTTATTATCCTCATTCTTACCGTCACTGGGATTATAATTAGTCATATCATTGTTAGCATTGCTGTTTAGTGATTTCATTATTATTAGTCTATCATCACCATTATCATTATGCCCATTGCTATTATTATTATGACCATCAATACTATTAATTATTTAAGTGATTTTCATATCATTATAATCAATATAGTTATCACATAATCCTCACAACCATTATTATCATAATCCTTATAATTTCCATCATCAATCATTATTCTTAGCATAATCATCATCAGCATAATCATCATTATCATCAATCATTATTATTATCATCAATTATTATTAATATCATTATCAGTCATTATTATTAGCATGTTCATCATTAATATCATCAATCCTTATTATTATCAATTATTAGTATAAATATATCTCTTGTATTGTGAAGATATCCAGTCTCATTCATACCTTTTTCTACATTTTTCAACATGGATACGGCTCATAAATATGTAAAAAAACAACAACAACTAGATAATATCCATGACACACCCTACACGTAGCAAGTCCACAAAGTACCCCCATGCTGTTGGCCCTCTAGCGGTTCCCCTGGCTTTCACCGCCCCGTCTCTGCCCCCATTCCAGACCGTCCTCGACAGCATTTTCCGAGAGTTTCTGTGCGATGCGGAGCTCCCGGTAACCCAATGACCAGATCAATTCTCTTTGTAGAGGGCTTCTGTTTTGCCTGCGAGATCACTGCCCACATCCGCTTGTCCGGGAGAGCTCATTTGGTTCAGCGGTTTTGGGAGAAAGGAGGGAATGGGAAGTGTGGTCGTTTGCGGGTGTTTGGTGCGAGGAATTATCACGGAATCGAGGGAGAAAGGAGGGAATGAGAAGTGTCGTCGTTTGCAGGTGTTTTGTGCGAGGAATTATCACCTGGATTTCGTTGTATATTATCTAAGTGGATGATAAATGGATGATGCGTGTTTCGAGAAGCGTTTCCTTGGTGGTTTGTACTGAGTCACGGAGGGAATCGCCTCAGTGAGTTCCACAATATACGTGTCTTTTGACGGAGATGAAGATTCCAGAATTTCAGGGCTTCAGGATTTTAGATTTTGATCTATTAATGTAGATGGATTTAAGCTGTCATCGCTTTATCATTTTAAAAAAATCAGTTTATCCACTTACTTGATGAAGACGAAAATGGTAAGTATAGACGTGTGCGATTATCATTCATCTAAAAGAATAAATTTTCTTCGGCAATTCTTCGTGATATCAAACCAAATCCTGGATGTGTTAATGGCACAGGAATTTAAATTTCGCCAATGCTCTCAGTTCCTCTCATACCAGATTAGGTTACAGATTACAGTTTCGTTAAGCAAATCTCAGACCACTGCCAAGGGGCATAAGGCAACAGCTGAAAAAAAAGCCTCGAGGAGTGGTTAAAGTATAGGGTTTCCTTGACCTAGGTTCAGATTTTTCAAAGATTCCAGCACTGAAGATTTACTTTCCAAGTTAAATACTGTGTTTACATTATCCATTCGGCGTAAGTGAGCAAGAAGAGAAAAAAGCTTTGTTTTTCGTTAATCAAATTGGCTTGTCGAGAAGACACGAGAAAAGAGATCAGCGAAAAATTTAATCAAAATATGATTAATCTTTGGAGGCGATGTTTTCGGGAGTCACTCCCTTTGCGACCTCTTCGTCTGATTCTATAGTAGAGATTTACATCATATTTTTTACTCCTATTATCTACAGTGTCTACATATAATTCACTGGAGATCTATAGTGATATGTAAATGACATTTCCATTTGGTTGGGAAATGCGCATCCACTTTTAGATTCTCAATACGGTACCCATGTTGGGCCAGGCAGTAACTACCTCCAAGGAATGTTGTTCTTTTTAGGATATTTTTCCTGTTGTCTCAATTGTTTCTTTTGCGAGTGAAAATGAAGTTGAAATTACAGATTTTATTGCCATTTGTTGTGTATACAGGTATGTATGAAACAGTCAAAAATAGTTTTTTATCTGTGGCCAACCATCAATTTATCGGGTCGTTTCAAGTCACGTGTTGTAAGGACTCCCAAAACAAAATTCCTAAAGCATTGGCTAGACATAGTTTCACCCATAGATAATCTGTGGCACTGCACTAACCAAATGAGCTCTCTGGACCCGCTTTTGTTGCTTGTCGGAAGGCAATAAAGGTAATTGGTAAAAGAAAAATAAAGAAATGCTGCATTAGATACAGGCGATTTTTTGGGTATCCCTTCGATGGGCTGAAAATGCTATTCCAGTAACTGAAATGCTTCTTAATAAATTTGGCTCTAAGTCGAGGTGTATTAGCTGGATTCACAATAGTCTGGCTAATGGTATCTGCTTCGAAGAAAATTGCTTTTATAACCGTCTCAGTTTGCGTCAATATTCACCAAATCTTTCTTGAGTATTGCTGTAAATTGTTGAAATAACTTGGCATCGAAGACCCAGTAGTTGAGATGCTAATAGTGGCTTTTGAAATTGGAATGAAAGACAACGAAAACAACCAAAACGTAGACCCAAGGAACAGAGGTACTGTAACACCCTTGACTGGAGAGTACCGGCATACAAATCTGTAAATCTGAATTACTGGTGGCCATGTGGTAATCTGATGGGCTGTGCATTAGGTAGTTTGGTGAGGCTGTAGTAACCTTCCCCCCCTCCCTTGACAGAACATGGTTGACAAGTTGGTGAAGAAGGCCAACGCATCCCTCCTTGTTGGTACCTCCTCTTGGAAGGAACAGTTCAGTGAAGCCATCACAGTCCAACCTGGTAAGTGCTGGAGGTTCCAGTTATCTCCTTTGACCATTATTACTATCTCGTAGAGGGATTTTATTCTGTGGTGGAGGGAATTTATATTTGTGATAGGGAAGTAGTCCTTTCTCTCGTCTTTGATCTCAAGAATCCATGCATGGAAAAGAAGTTGCTCTTTCATGTAATTCAACAATGATTTTAGGTCCATAAGATCAGTCATAAAACATATTTATTTAACTCTATAATGATATTGTTATTTTGTCTGTATCTTAAGGATTACTGAATGGCCCTCATAGCCGCAAATATATGCAATGATAATGAGTATTTTCCTTTAGTAATCACTACCCTGCCATCTCATTTACGTGAATATGCTGTCTTCGTGGTCTAGCGCCTTTCGTCATTCATTTTCACCCGTTTTTTTTATTGTTAAAACTGTCTAAATTAAATTAATAAAAAAATTAAGTAGAACTGAAATAAAAGAATTGAATCTACTCAAAGTTCTTGATTTCATTTATCTGAGATCATGCTAGCTTAATGTGCATTATGTAACAATTGGATTCTTGTAATATGTCAGCATCCATAGCATAGATTATTAGATTTATAAAAACATAAAAAAAAATTGTACAGATGTCATACTTCTAAGTAGTAACAGATCGATGGCTCTTTTGGTATGCTTCTTGAAGAACTTACAATATAAAATCGACGGAAATTCCATACTATGCCAATGGCAGCCTATACAACGTGAATCAAAACTTTTACCCGAGCCATAAAAAAACATCTCTTCAACACATTCAATGATTCCCTCCCGGTTTCATCACAATGGACGAGCGCAGCCAGACAGCATCACGACCTTTCATGTGACGAAACGAAGTGGGTTGCCAAGTTCCAAGAATAGTCTTATATTAGTGTAATGTGGCCAGGAATCCTTAACAATGTTGGTTCTGTTCAGTTACCTATTGCGGCTTCCTGATGTGTTACTGTAACCTTGTGCCTGATCCTTAGAGTAAGGTGGGTGCTTCTCTCGTTGAGTTTTACTCTAAGAGAAGTTCTTGTCAAAATCAGTATGCAGATTTCATACTCTTATAAAATTATTCTAAATGATGTCTTTAAAAAAAAATAGAATGATTATCTGTTTTCATTTATTCATCTTCTGTGTATACATATTTTCTGGCCATTTCTGAGGTGTTCCGTTGACACGATTTCCACCTAAATATGCTAACTATGCAATTCCTTCCCTTGCCTTTCCCTGCTTCGGTGTCGCCTCCAAATGGTAGGTGGCAATTGGGTAACAGTGATTATAAAACCAATATTATCAGTCTTTGTTAGTCTACCTTTTTTTGTGAATTAGACCAAAAAATTCATGTCACAGGATATTTCCCGTGACTTTTGGGTTCTCGAATAAATTGTTTAATTGAAAATTTTGTTAGATTTTGAAATTTCCATTTTAAAAGATTTAATTTTACAAGTAGAAGTAGTTCGTTAGTTTACTTTTTCACCTTAGTGAGTTCCTTTTTTATTATTATTATAAAGATAACTCATATGACAGTCAAATTAGTCACTAAAATATGCACAGTTGCCTAACATTATCATAGTCTTTGGCGAGATTCATTTGGTCAACTAATTCGGCTTTCTGTCGGCAGAATTAGTAATATATATAGCTACCGTTATCCAGTATATATATATATATATATATATATATATATATATATATATATATATATATATATATATTACTTTGTATAACTAAATGATTCTTGCCAAAAATTGGATTAGATAATTGTTAATGTATATATGTATGCATATATGATCTCTGATGACTATACAAAATTAATAATGGTGTCATATTCTCACTGATACAAATTTCAAACATGAAAATCATGCATATGCTCTGTACATAAGCTTTGCAAAACAAAAAAAATATATATATTGCACAGTCGTTGCATAGTGTCTGCCCTGACTAGAGTGGTAAATTTTAGTTATTTTCTCCCCTCCCCCCTTTCACGCTACCACCTTCCTGCATTCAACTATGGTAGGTATTCCTGAGAAGCACCTCGAGGTGTATTAGAGAATGATTCGTGTGTATCAAAGTATAGTCCAAACTTCTATGACTATTTTCCTTTTTATTTTCTTTCTCTATGTCTTTGTCTAACTCAGATTTTTTTATTTTATCTTTATGATTTTTGACTATTTTTTTACCTTGCAGATCTTATGTGTTCCTTTTTGAAGTAGTTTTGTTATCTGTTATAACAAAACAGACACATTTAACTTATAAAAAATAACTGCACCATATCAATGCAGCTTTATTCTCTTTTTTTCTTTTTCTTTTTGGTTTAGAATCACCACAAGTGAGAGTGGTGACCACAGTTGCTATATTATTTTATTTTATTTTTTCTCGTATGATATTCTGCTATATTTGGAGTATCATTTTTCTCTACATTTTCACGTTTCTATATAATTTGTTCTTTTAATATAGCTTAGATGTTGCAACTTGAGTGTGATGCCTGACTTTTAATTTCATAGTTTAAGTATTAAGTTTATTTGATATATCATTCAAGAAAGTTAAAATATTAATAATTAATTGAGCTTATCTTAGTACAATGGTGTATGATAACTTGTAACGTAGTATAATTCTTAACTTGTCTCCATTTTGTAATCTCTGTCTCACTGTAGCTTCGCAATTTCTGTAATTTATTTATTTAATATGTTAGCCAGATTTCTATGTTGCTAAATATAATACTAAATTTTAACCAACAATAATCATAAGAAAAACAAAATCGCATCTGAACGGGAAAGTGTCTAGTCCCAAGTCTCGCTAATTTTAATTTTAATATTCTCCTTCCTTTCTCTCTCTCTCTCTCTCTCTCTCTCTCTCTCTCTCTCTCTCTCTCTCTCTCTCTCTCTCTCTCTCTCTCTCTCTCTCTCTCTCTCTGACCTTCTTTCTCTCCTTCTCTCTCTTCCCATTTCCTTCTCTCTCGTCCCTTCTCCCTCCCTCCCTCTCCCTCTCTCTTTCTTTATATTAATTCTCCCCTGTTCTCGTAGGCGATGAAGATGAAGAGGGAGAGGAAGAAGAAGAGACTGAGAAGCTGCCCAGCTGTATGGATTACGTCATGCATTTCGTCACCGTCTTCTGGAAGATTCTCTTTGCCTTTATTCCTCCCACGGGTAAGACTCGACTCGGTTTTGTCCTCTTAAGATGGTCAATTAAGTACTAAAGGTAGTTTTGGTTTCCTCCTTAAGATGGTCAATTAAGTACTACGTGAAATTTTGGTTTCCTCTTTAAGATGGTCAATTAAGTACTACGTGAAATTTTGGTTTCCTCCTTAAGATGGTCAATTAAGTATACTCCTCTTTAAGATGGTCAATTAAGTACTACGTGAAATTTTGGTTTCCTCTTTAAGATGGTCAATTAAGTACTACGTGAAATTTTGGTTTCCTCTTTAAGATGGTCAATTAAGTACATGAAATTTTGGTTTCCTCTTTAAGATGGTCAATTAAGTACTACGTGAAATTTTGGTTTCCTCTTTATGATGGTCAATTAAGTAAAAGTACTACGGAAATTTTGGTTTCCTCTTTAAGATGGTCAATTAAGTACTATGTGAAATTTTGGTTTCCTCTTTATGATGGTCAATTAAGTAAATTCCCTATTTAAGATGGTCAATTAAGTAAAAATACTACGTGAAATTTTGGTTTCGTCTTAAAGATGGTCAATTAAGTACTACGTGAAATTTTGGTTTATTTTGGAGGATCAATTAAAGTAAAAGAACAAAGAAACATAAAAAAAATGGTACATGAAAATTGCGTCATTTTAAGATAATAGTAATTTTAAAATAAGCTATAAAAATATATATATTACGTGAAAGTTTAGTTTATTTAGAGAAAAAAGTATTACGTGAAATTTGGTTCATTGCTGATGTTTAAGGGGACCGTCTGCTTTTTTTTTCGATTTTTCGATTTATCTTGCCGATTTTGATGAAACTCACACCCTTTTATTTGGGCCCCTTCCCATTGCCTGTGGTCGATTTTTTTCGAAATCGCCCGAACAGTTTTTGAATTATTGTCAAAAAAACGAAAAATGCGAAATTCGCCATTTTGAAAATGCAGCACCTGGGTCAAAGGATTCAGACTTCAGAAACGGCAAGACATTCAATTTTATTTGATTTTTGCACAGAACTACCTTATATCTACAACTTGATCGAGAGCGTTTTTTCGATTTCGACTTCAATTTTTTTTTTGTGAATTTTTGAAGTTGGGTACTTCAAGAAAAAAAAAAAGGTAAAAATTTTCTTACATTGACCACTTTTACAAGAAGTACAGGCAAAAACTGCGAAAACGCTCTCGATCACGTTGTAGATATTTTATTTTTCTACAAAATGAGCCATAATATGTTAATTTTGGACATATGGTGTGCCCGGAATCCTTTGACCCACCCCTAATGGTGGAGTTCCGAGATATCGGCATTTTGCGTTTCTCTATCTTTCCAAGGCTATCTTGATATCAACAAAACAAGGCATAAGATTAGTCTTCCTACACCATAATCCTCTATCATCTACCTGCATTCCGAAGTCTTGCGGACATTGCCAGCACGTAACGGTTTCTCAAAATCTTACGTATAGTGCGGAGTGGTGGCAGTGATATGGGGGTCTATAGGCCTACATTGACCATTTTTAAAAATTTCTCAAAAATCCAAAGAAAATCATACAGCCATTCTGATTTCATGTTTGAATAGAACTATCTTTCTACTATTATATGCAGAAGCCATTTTTGAGAAGTTGACCTTACTTTTTTCTTGGTGAATATTTTCCGAAGGTGACTATTTTAACACCCTAATAGGAGATTTTGGAAACATATGTCACTTTTACAAGAACCACGTGAAAATATTGCAAATCCTCATGGCAGTATGTAATAGAACTATTATTCAGCTACAAAATGAGCCATAATACTTTAAAATCGGACCGATTATACGTGTGCTATGCGTAAAAATATGACGGACCTAAAAAATGCGATCTTATTCCTTTTTATTATGTTTACATTTTACATGACAAATCATGTACAGAATACTTGTATTTGATATAATTATCTATCATATACCTATTATTGATGCTCTAATGAGGTTTTACAACGTATGATATTTGTCGAAAGAATAACTTTTCTCCAGTCGGACGGGTACCAAACACATACTTTTCCCCACGCGACGGGGCCGTCCTGGACCGTGAAAATCGTCTTTTTAAATCTGCGGAATAACTCTACGGGGTCACTTAGCCAAATTTCACTCTCAGACCCCGTGGAAAGTCGAAAAACAATTACATGGCGATGTGAAACTATGTATATAAGGTATATGAGCACATATAGATAATTTTCGTGTACCCCATGACCTTTTGTTTATTTATATTGTTACTACCGTTTGTTTCTTTGTTTGTTTATTGATTGTTTATTTGTTGTTTTTTTGATTATTAGTTTGTGTTTTCTAATATTTCTAAAAGTTATGAACACATTTTAACGAGATTTTAACCAAAAGTGAGTTTTAACCTAACTTAGAGCTTATTGCAGTTTGGTGGTGATGCGGACTATGGTTTGGATCCAGGAATTTTTTTTCTAACTCGAAAAGTTATGAATAGATTTGAATAAAATTTTAACCTGAGGTTTGTCTTAGCCTAATTAATATTCCATATAATTTTGGTGGTGATCCTGAATATTTGGCAAAACTACCCCCCATGGGTGGGGGGGGGAGGTTTGCATTTTCGAAATTTTTTGCTCATAGATCAAAGTAACTATGTATGATGAAAACATAAAGATAAGAAAATACACTATATGAAAAACATATCATGTTTAGTTATTTCTATGGAAAATTTCTTCATTGCCGTTTTTTGGACGCTTGCCGGATTTTTGAAATTATTCCGAAAAAAAGAAGGTTGGTCTCATCTTATGTGAAATTTGATAAGCTTTCAGAAAATAACCTCATATTTTTATTATCTAATCATTGCGTCACAATTGCCGATTTTCAAAGGTACCATCAAAAAAATAATATTTCGGTCGACATCAAAAATCGCTGCTACCACCTAAAAAATAACGGTCGAGCCTTGACATTTTCAGGGGAGAAGGGGGGACTAGAAACTACTTGCAACTGCATTAAAGTCAATTTCGGCAAGAGGGGCGAAAATCGCCGAAAAATCAGCAGAAGGTCCCCTTAAAGTTAAAATTATATATATCTATGAAAATAGAAGTAATAAGTGACAAATGATGCTCTGTTAACGTAAAACATATACCAATTGGAAATATTTATATATAATATATATATATATATATATATATATATATATATATATATATATATATAATATATATATCCAGTCTCGCTCCTTCGTTTTCTTTCATATTCGTTCAAGTCGGTTTGGTGTATAAATAAAATACTTCAATAAAAGATCAAGAGAAATCTTTTTTTCTCAAATATGTTTAATGCACAATTTAATTAAATTCCAATGTATTTGCCCCAAATAAGGTTTATGATAGGATATGAAAAAGATATGATTTATTGAAAGTTGAATTTATCCAATTGCTGTGGTATTTTTACACTCTTTTTCGTTCTGCGTATTTAAGCTTTTGATATATTTCTTATAAATACAAACTTTGCTCTGCTCTTTTCATGATTTTGCAATTCCTAGATGACTTCCACCTTGGAATTTCTTCAATATTATATTAAGTTCTTTAATCTTGCAAAAAGGTCAAGAATGAATTTCCTTCAGAATGTTTCTTCCCGAAAACTAAGGAGACTTAGGAAATGAAAGAATACTTAAAATAAATTCCAATCAATATTCCGAAGAATAAAATTACCTGAGACTTTATAAAAGTAACATATTGCTCTGGAAAAAAAAAATATTGGACCTTACAAAATTAGGATTAAAGTGGCTTTTTCATCATACTGTATTTTCCTACATCTATGGGTGTACATATTTATTAATTTGATGTCCAGTTTTTGTGTATATTTATATACTTATTTTTAAAAATACGGTTTCGGAAAATATTCATGGTAGTCGTAAATTGTAATAATCAGAACTAGGGAATTAAATCTTTATTAAATCTAAAACAAAAGCCTAGAAACAGGAAATCGTAGGTACTTAAATCAAACCAAATTTTGAGAAACCCACACACTCAAAACCCATTAGAAAAATGGGTTCAGTCAACATATGATTTTATAGAAAACAAAAGGTTACTACTAGTTTTGAAAATTATATATATATATCTTTTTTTTCTCCTGAATATCCCAGAATCATATTTTTTTCTGCTTATATACTTTTTCATTCTAGAAACAGCTTAGAAGAATTTTGATATCATAAAATTTCTTTTAGATTTCACCTTTCCATTTTGCTATTTGACTGGTTTATTATAGATTCTAAGGAGTGGTTTCGATGTTTTTTCTTGTACTTGTTGCTCGTAATTTTGTATTTTATTTTTCTGTCTTTGTATCAAGTCAAAACAGAGTTAGTTTCCAGGCACTAGAATCGATGTGTATATATATATGCTACACACATACAAAAACATATATATATTATATATATACACGTTTATATTTATATACATTATGTATATTTACACACACACACACACACACACACACACACACACACACACACACACATACACATACACATACACATACACACACACACACACACACACACACACACACACACACACACACACACACACACACACACACACACACACACACACACACACACACACACACACACACACACACACACACCACACACACACACACACACACACACACACACACACACACACACACACACACACACACACACACACACACACACACACACACACACACACACACACACACACACACACACACACACACACACACACACACACACACACACACACACACACACACACACACACACACACACACACACACACACACACACACACACACACACACACACACACACACACACACACACACACACACACACACACACACACACACACACACACACACACACACACACACACACACACACACACACACACACACACACACACACACACACACACACACACACACACACACACACACACACACACACACACACACACACACACACACACACACACATTTACTATGAAGAAAATTAACCGAATCTGTTTTAAAATCACGATTCACTGCCGATGAAACAAACTCTTTTTTGACAGATATTTTTATAATTCTAATCACACCAGAGATATTTATTTTTTTCTTTACTCCACAGATCACAAGTTTACAGATAGATTTTCCTTATTTTCATATTGTACATAATACATGAAAGAGTATTTCCTTATTCTCAAGGTGTTGGTGCCATGTACACGAGAGTGAGTGACAGTACGAATGAAAGCTTTTTATGTACACACATTATCGTGTACCGTACTGTAGTGTTGCTTTTAATAATTCCTGTATGTTACATCCTACCATGGATCAGTATGTTCAGAATCTGTATTCATAATAGCTATTATTTCTAATGTTGTAGACGTGTCTTGTTACAAAATCTATGTTGCTATCTAACAGGGTGATAATATGTACATTTATATTGTATTTGTAGACACGGTCAGATACAGAAAATGCGGGTATAGCATGTACACATATACATATATACGTAGATACAAACAATGCATACATACACACACGTTCACATACGCCTAAGTATTGTGGTGAATATGAATGACTACATAATTACACATTTCACCTTCTGTAATTTTGTTGTATGTATATTCATACAGTCTGTGAACAGTTTATTAGATTTTTTTTTTTATTGTAATATGCATGTAATATCTTTTAATCAGCTTTTGAGATAAAATCAATTTTTCATGTAGTTTTAATCAGCTTCAGCATTCTCTAACTTTAAGCTCAGCAACCATATTGGATGATCTGCATTCCTCTTTTAGGTCATGTGAAAAAATTTTATCAATCTATTTAGCTTCTAGATCCATTCACTTCTCATGCTTGTTTTCTGCTGTTGGTGAAACCTCTTATTCTGTTTGAGTTTTGTCTTTATTTCCAAGCGTGTTCATCTTAGAATTAAAAGATCGGTGATAATATTCAGGGATCTTCTGATTATTATTTTTTTTTTCTTAATCCGTTTGTCAGAATTATCATTGACGTGTAAATAGTTGGACAAAGACCTTCCAATTTCACCTTTTGATGGTTTCTCAAATTTGGCCTTTCTGCTCTTAATCATTCCTGTAGGTTTACAGATCATGCTAAAAGAGGAACACAATTCTGAGGCACAGAGCATCAGAATCTTAGCCAATCAGTGTCTAACAATCGTCAAAATTGTGTGCTGTAACACCCTAGACCTCGACTCACCTCGCCATGAATTGCATCTGAATATCTTTTTTTTCTTCTCTCTCTCCACAATCACTCCCACCCAACAGACATCGCCAAGGGTTACCCAACGTTTATAATCTCTATTTTGGGCATTGGTCTTCTTACTGCCTTTATCGGTGACTTTGCCTCTCACTTCGGCTGTTCTATCGGTCTGAAGGACTCGGTGACTGCCATTGCCTTCGTGGCTTTGGGTACCAGTGTTCCAGGTATGTTGAGGCGAACCGCTATGGAAGGGCTTGGAGGTTGTCACTGGTGATTGCAATGTCCACTTCCTTGGTAACTACTCCTCTGAGGGATATGGTTATACCAAGTCTGTTCCCCTTGTAACAACTAGGGCTTGGATATGGCTGCATATCCACTTGATCTGTCGAAGTAGTTTCCAAGGTAGATTTAAAATCACCAGTATTTTCACTTTAAGAAAAAAAAAACTTTTATTTGAATCTGTATTTGCGCCATTTAATTTTAGATTTTTTTTTATGTCTATTTGTTTTCTTTGGGGTATGCCAACATGGCGTGCATACGTTTCAGATAAAAGAGGCCCTTTTTCATTTTTTTTTCTTTATTTATTTTCTTGAGTTCCAGAAGTTGGAAACCATGTGTCTTGCCCTGGGATTAGTTTAACCGTGTGTGGCATATTATGGTCGTATTCTTTTCATAACAATTTTCTTTTACCCTTGTACCCCCTGCATTCTCTTCCTCCGCCCCTTCAGTACTTCAGCGCTCGTCGGCCATGTCCGCTTAAACGTGGCATGAAATGAATCCTTTCACATTTATACTTTTGAAAGTCTCTTCTATCACTTCCCCAAGACCAAATTACTGCAGATTTGTTGCCTTTTTTCGTTTTCTTTTTTTCTTAATAATCGTCGTTTTGCTGCCAAAGATCGATCCCTTGTTGAAGACGGGAACCGGACGCCTTCGAAGCGTGGTGTCCGTAATTTTTTTTTTTTTTTTTAGAAAGATCTTCCCTAATATAGAACTCAAAATCGATCTCGAGATAGTCGACCGCATATTTTAGAAATCCGTTTTAGCACGCTGATTACAAGGAAGGCGAGCGTGTCTTTCTTTCAAGGAAAAAGCTCCCCAGTGAGAAGATATCTCTTGACTTCGAAACCGTAAAGGGAGTCAGCGCTGAGTGAACCTCAAGTGGAATTTTTATAAAAGCTTCAGGGCCTGGTCATTTTGGAGTATTTTCACCTTCAGTTTACCTGGAGAGAGGATGGCCAGGCTCATACAAAACCACTCATACTATTTCTCATATCCATGTGAGTTGCTGGAGACATGACGTGGCACCTCACCTCACAGTCGACTTAGTAGGTACTAGAACGCAGTATTAACTTCACTAACAAACGGTATGACAGGAGGAGTGAGTATCCATGGGTTCTGAAAGAGATCGCACCAGGTTTCTTTGATGATTTTTACCACAGCCCAAGCAGGTCTTCCGCGAGAGACTAGCGAATCTCCGCTCGGGCCTTGTGACCGTTCTCTAATCCCTGACTTTTGCCGAATGCAGACCTGCTGCTCGGATATCCGACCTTCGTCATCAGCATTCTCGGTATCGGAATGGTCACTGCCGTTATAGGCGACATGGCATCACATGTAGGCTGTACTATAGGCCTTAAGGACACAATTACCGCTATTGGATTTGTCGCGCTGGGCACAAGTGTTCCAGGTAACTTGGTAGAGAAAAAAAAGAAAAAGGAAAGAGTAGTTTTCAGGTAACTGTAGGTAAATGGTGGTTCTCTCAAGTCACGGCCTTCCTGGAGATTTTACTTTTATTTTATTTTATTTTATTTTTTTAGATGACGGTTTTCCAATAAGTAGATAAACTTGAAATTGGCGTTTCAATTTATTCCAGTTGCGCATGTATGTTTGATCTGTGGAAACGTGACTATCTTTCGAAATTGCCAGTGAGAGAAACCACAAAGAATTATCGAAGTGGAATAATAGTATCAATAATATAGTCTAATCTAGTCGGTTTGGAATACTGTCAGTAGTTCGCTAACGATAAGAGATTTTTTTCTTTTTTTTTAACGAAAATAACCAAATAGAGATGTAGTGCGTGCGTGTGAGGGTTATTTCGGAAAAGTCTTTGAGTTGTTACTTTGGTCTTTTATTTTTTCCTACTTTTTCTTCCTAATTCCTCATCTCTGCTCTTAATTCTTATATTCTCAGCATCAGCAAACTTTCCTGTGTGAATTGCAACCATATTGTTTTTGTGTTTTTTTAATTTTTTCCTTTTTGGTTTCGATTTATTTTTGCATTTGTTTTTTTGTTTTGTTTTTTGGCATGTCCCTTGGCCATGGAGTTTGTTTTCTGCGCATGTCTCTGAAGAGCACTTGAGGATTTCAGTTTTGATGGTGCTTCTCTTTGTGACTGATATGGTGCATCTTCCATAAGGTTTTACAACTTGTGATTACTCCCAGACTTGTGCATGGGTAATGCGGACATGCTTTCTTGCCTGCAGAATGTCCAAAGTTTATTTTAGTTAAAACACATTTTCTCTCTCTCTCTCTTCCCCTCCGACGCTCCCCCTTTCCTCTTCCTCCTCCTCCTCCCCCCTCTCTCTCCTCTTGTTTAACGGAATGGTGTCTATACCTCTCTACACCCCTTCCACCACGGAAACCCACACTGACGGTCACACGCGCAGCCCTAGGAGGCGGATACCCGTGTTTCATGTGTTCAATAGTTGGTATCGGGCTAATGACTGCGGTGATCGGGGACGTAGCCAGTGCGTTGGGCTGCACCAGTTTCCTGAAAGACTCGGTCACTGCAACCACTTTCGTTGCCCTGGGAACTTCTATGCCAGGTACACTGCTGAACAAGTGGCTTTCGTCAGTACCCATCTGTACCCAAGTGTCAGATGTGCTCTAGCAAGTCAGTAGAGAGGCGAGAAGAAATATATCTGTAAATCTATTTGCATTGCCATGCGGGCTACCCAGTTTACTTTAGTTTCCCTTCCGCGTAAGCATTCCTGCTGTATTTTGCTGTATTGATTTGATCGTTTTGGAAAATGAAGACTCTACCCCCCCCCCCCTTAATTTCAAAAAGGAAATTATTATAATACTCTTGAATATCTAAGAAAAACGAAATGTAATTTTCTTTTTCCTTTCAACCATGTTTTGATTTGCAATATCAGTAGTTAGATGTCTTTGAAAATCTTCTGCCTTGATTTCATAACAAAATTGCACATCCTCTTTCAAAGTAAATAACGAAAGAAATATAAGTAAATTTCCTTTCCCCTTCCCACCGTATGTCCTACATTACACAACCGCAGTTTCATAAACCCAAGTATGTCCTTTAAGTCCGTCAGTCCTGTAATATCTATGTTAAATGAATCAGCACTAGTCAGTACATGAAAAAAAAAAAACATTGAGTAATATCCTTGCTTAGCTAGCACGGTAAAACAAGACAAGAGTAAAATAAATCATCTATAGATAAGCTGCAATACTTACCAAATAGTATTCAGGTATCTTAATTAGCCCTGACTTCAGAATTAGTTGACCTAATAATGGTGGTTGCACTTATACCTAGAATTTCCTCGACCCTCTCCCCCCTCTGCCTTACATCCTCACATCCCACATCTTGAACATTGTTCATTGTTACTTTCCAGGTGACACAAAAACCCATCATGCATTCGCTTTTCCTCACACTTCCTACACGATCCAACATCATTTGGTGCCCGACTAAGACCTCTGTCGTTGCAGCGCTTCCCTTCCGAGAGGGTGCTGTAAACCTTCTCCTAGGTCCTCTCAGATCATTGCTCTGTATCTGGCTGTAGATGGTATATGATTTACGTCATAAGTAAATTCCTTTTTTCGGAAATAAAATGGTTGGAGGAAAATATGATTACATGCTAAACCATTCATTATTCTTCCTAGTTTGCAGAAGTTTTCCAAGATTGCAGCACCCTGGTGTTACACTGTCCTATTGCTGTCTTCATTCTTGATAATATTGATAATTATAATATTGTGGACTTAAGCCTGATGCTGGTTTCCCCCTTGACCTACATCCCTCTGTAAAGACTCTTCGGCCATTATTTGCTAGTGTGTCCTTTATCAATTTTACAATTTTGTAATTCCTCCGTTCCTACTAACTCTCAAGCTTACAGGTGCTGCTTGCTGCTGCTGGTGTTAGTACTAACTTTTCTTTAAGAGCTAAATACTGCTAACTTAGACACGCAGTGTGGATGGTGCAACTATTTCCATAATCTTACCTCTCTTGTATAAACCTCAATACATGCAGAGTGCATGTGGAACCATCCATGCTCCTGCCGCTTGCAGTTGTCACCACCTTGAGGGTCACGTAGAATCTAGTCTAACGCTAACATCTGACTAACATCACCCCACACAGACCGGCAAGGTGGATGGTCGTGTTTTATTATCTCAATTGCATCGATTGGATTTTTGACTGCATTAATCGGTGATGTGGCCAGTCAATTCGGCTGCACTATCAGCCTTAGAGACACCGTGACGGCGATTTCTATTGTGGCGCTTGGGACGAGCGTTCCAGGTAACACAAGCATAACGCTAACATTTGTCCTGTTCGGCGATGATAAGCAGTGACTGCTATTCAACATTCAATTCCTTCAGCAGAGCTGGTTCAAGAAATAATTTCTGGATCATGATCTCTTTTCTAAATAAAGTCATAAGAATGATAAGCATATCATGTTAAAATTTCCTAATTGTCTTAACTAGTTCCCTTTGCTCATTGTAAGTATTTTCGAATGATGCTTAAATCTTGAGAACAAAATTAATCATTCTTGTTGAAGTCTGTAAGACCTCTAAGGCATCCAGACCTTTGCTGTTGTAAGTGCACACCAGCTGTTTTTTAGTGCTTGTTCCTAGACCATTAGCATGGCATTGTTGTCTCATTTATTTATGCTTCCTTGCTTTGAGTATTATAAAGGACGTTAATGTTATTTAATTTGATAAAGATTAACACTGCTATTTTACCACACTGCATATTGGGGTTAAATCCCTCTTATAATGTACGGATATAGGTATATTACCAAGCCCAAACTTTGTCAGTTCTGTCAATTAAAATTGTCTATAGTTTTATTAGAAGCTTTCAAAATTACCAATATGCCATAAACTTTTAGCATTTTCTTTCATTTCTCTTACTCTGGAAATAGAAGTTGCTTAAATACTAAAATGCAATCAAGTGAAATAATCTAAGCGATTAGGGTCACAGCCTAGCATAATCGAAGCACGGTCTCCTCGGGCTCCTCTTAAGACCTCCGGCACTCCTCCCCCAGATACCTTTGCCTCAAAGGTGGCCGCCCAGCAGGATCCCTACGCTGACGCCTCTGTGGGCAACGTCACGGGCTCCAACGCTGTCAACGTGTTCCTTGGTATTGGTATCGCATGGACCCTGGCTGCTATCTACCACAATGTCCAAGGAAGAGACTTTGAAGTCTTGCCTGGCAAGTAAGTCCGATGGGCGGGTCGGGGCTGAGGGACTTGGGTCGAGATATTCACTTTTTTTTCTAGTTAGTGGCATTGGCTATTAAAAAGGTGTTATTGCTCTTGCTCTTACACATTCATGGTTGATATACTGGTAATTCAAAAACGAAATAAAGATCATTCGTCAAGGAACAAGAGATGCCAATAGCCCGCGAGACGAGACCTCCACTCAGCCTCCGTTCCCTTGCAGCTTGGCCTTCTCAGTGACCCTGTTCTGCGTGGAGGCGGCAGTGGCCATCATGGTGATGATGATCAGGCGACACCCGAGCGTCGGCGGCGAGCTCGGCGGGCCAAGAATCCCCAAGATCGTGACGTCCGCCTTCCTCGCCTTCCTGTGGGTCTTCTACGTGTTCATGTCCTCCCTGGAAGCCTACGACATCATCCCCTCTCTATGAATAATCCGTTCCGGTTGTGAGGACGTCGCAAGGCTGATGGGCAACGTGCCATGGCGGGCGACGAGGGTCTTCCGCGCCCTGTGCCCGAGCTTGGCCGGTCAAAAGCAGCGTAGACTAGCTAACCTTTGCCACTATCCGCCGTGCGGCCCAAGCGGCAGCGTTGTGTGAGTGACTACTATGTGTGATGTCCTCCACTATCACCACCAACACCTCCACCTCTTCCACCACCAAAATTACATCCGGTCCTGTGTCATCCGAAGGGCCTGTTTCTAGCTGTCATGTCCACTTGCTCTGTTTATTTTTTTTCTGTTTTTATTTATTTGTATTTTTATGAGGCTGGTCGATCTGCAGCCCCCCTGTGAGCCTGTTTATACCCTGTGGACGTGACTCACGAGCATTCCTCACTAACAGTGCCGTACCTCTGTCTCATCCTAGCACAAATTTCAGTTTTTGGCATGGCGGTGCTTGTGGATGCTACGGGAGACCATTAAAACGAGGTTATTACAACAATAATCACATGCAGCGACTATGACGGAAGCTGCATGTGGTTACGATCAAAAAAACAAATACAAAATAACACAAAACTAAAAAAAAAAATATTTGTACAACTACTTCCTCCTTAAGTGTAAGTAGTAAATGCAATGATAGTCATGAATGGTTGCTATGGTGACAGCATACAGTGGCTGCTATGCCACAGCTGTGAATGGCTATACTTGGTAGCCCTTGTTGCTCTCATAGCCTCTCTTCTGATGGCCACCGTGACCATGTTTACAGTGGTGTGTCGGTCGTGTCTCGGGTCGCCCTCCTCCGTCAAGCGTTGCGAATCTTGGGGCGACCAAGGCGTCCACTGCCCCATTCACTCGACTAACACCCAGCACTTTCCTCTTTAATAATGGCCTACTCTTACAAACTCTTTTGGAAAAAACGATTAAAAAAATCAATTAAGAAAAGTCTACCCTCATTCCTTGTATGTTATCTTTTAAGTTGTTTTATTTTTCTGTTTTACCACACGTGGGTTTTGTTTCTGTGGTTGTATTGTGTGCCATCATCCCCCTTAGCCCCGCCACTATGGTTGTGTCTTGTCATTAATGCCTCATTCATGCCACTGTGGTTGTGCTGTGTCATTAATGTGTCATCCATGCCACTCTGGCTGTCTCTCGCCGTCAGTCTCTCCTGGCCACCGTGGTTTCTTCTCCAATTCCTAGTAAAGACTAAAAGCAGTACAATGAGGCTAGTCAATGGTTTGCATAATTAAAGTAGAATCAAAAGTTGAAATAGCGAAACCATTCAGATGAGTGCCTTCAATGTCGAGAATATTTATAGATTAGTGATTTTTTGATGATCTAGAATCCCATCTCTTCTGTCAATTGGCTGTAGACGCCACCTCTTCAAAATGTCCCGACTAGGTTCTCCCTGGATCTTGTGAGGAAAAGCGACACAGCGTCTTGTGTCCGAGAAGTTGTCCCCGCCAATCATCCTTCACGACATTTGTTATTCATCACTGTACATCATCAACCTGTAGGAGGCATTATTTTCCTTTGTCAAATTATCTACAGTGAGAAGATGAACTTGATGTTCGTTGGGAGTGTTGAACGTTTTCTGTTCGATAGACATATTTTATAAATGTTACATTATTGTTAAGGATTATAGTGGAAACATCAAAGCAAATGACTATTCGAAAAGAAATTACTGTGGGAAAGTATTGTTCATTTGAAAGAGTCGCGAAATGTAAATAATCAAAATTTGCACTGTACATAGGTAGCTGTATACCTCATTGATCTGTTGTAGCCAGTTTTATACACAATAGCCAGGCTCTTTCAAATATTTGTATAGCATAAACGAAACACACGCACGCTCCTCTCAGAGACTATGAGGAGCCGCTCTCAGAAAGTAGAGCTCGGCTGGTTTGTTGTTGCCGAGCCTGACAAAGAACAGCGAAGAAAAATGGATCTCTTTCTAAGATAGTTCTTTCTGAATCTATGTGCCATTGGCCGTTCTCGAAAGCCATGTAAGCTCAGGATATAGCATACTTCAATATCTTCTTTTTTTCTGATTTTTCCTACTTCGTGAAAGTATCACTCTGACCTTTAGATAGCTATGCGCGACTGGATATTAATAAGATTTTTTTTTTTTCTTCTTCTATGTAATTCAACATATAAGAAAAAAGGAATTGTTCTGAAACAGTGGGTATGCTCCGACGTGCCAAGAAAAAGGTGATCTCTCGTAACAAAGCTTACATGAGTTTTTTTTTTTTTATACATATATATTTTTTTTTTCTTTCTTTTTTTGCTTGCTTATATTCCAGACGAATCAAGATTTCTAGATAAAACTCAGGTCAAGTTCAGAATTATCAGCGAGCCACCACGAATACTCTTACATGGCAACATTGGCTATGATGTCGATGACTTAAGCATGTCTTTGCTATTTGGTACATTCTCAAATGACCAGTTTTTTTTTTCATATTTGCCTGTCGTGAAGAAATCTAGTTCCGAGTAGAAGCGCTATGATTTAGGTAATGTTGACATCATTTGTAAATAAAGTGAAAATGAAGGGCAAATGACTGCATATGAAGCAAGTATTAGGAGTATATATGTTATGTATATTATATATATAATATATATATATATATATATATATATATATATAATATATATATATATATATGTATGTATATGTATGTATGTATATGTATGTATATATGTATAAAGTATATACATATGCATATATATATGTATTCTGTGCATTACCTACAAATCGCTGCCACTGTTCCCCATGGATAAGTAACCGACCTACATGGGACCTATTGTCTCTCCATACCTTGTCTCTTCCCTCTTTTTGAAATTAAAAAAAATGATAATAATAAAACTGTCGCGTCTATGTCTTCTCCTTGCGTTTTCTTACAGTTAGCAATAAAAGGGTATAACACATGATGGATCTTTAATTACCCTTGTGTGAGAAGTCTTGATGTCAAGTCTGTTCTTGCTTTTGTTATTTCTTGTGTGTTATCGTTAAACACACATATTTCGTTATGGTTAGTTATATCATTTGTATATGTAAATATACAAATACACCTATATAATATATACTATTTATATATTAAATTATACACTATATTAATATATATATATTAAATTATACTATTTTTATATATTACTACTATTTATATTATTATTATCTATCTATATATACTATTAACGTATATTATATAATCTGTATTAATATATATTGAGTATAATTATATATATATATAATCTTATATATACTATCTATACTCATATATATACTATTATATTATATATATAAATTTATACTATATAGTATATACTTATACTTACTATACTAACTATCACCCCACCATCATTCATCTTCCTCTCCATACAACTATATTATATTTATATATATCTCTATCAATATATTATATATTTTACTTATAGTTTATATTATTATGAGTAATATACTATATATATATAGGTTACTGTTCTGTCTTGATTACTACTCTATATCTTATCACATATTATATATACTCTATCTCTCGCTCATTCATACATATATCTCTATATACTCATTCATACTACTTATCTATTCCACCCTACCTATATTCCTATATATTGCATATTATACCATACTTATATAGACTAATTAGCTAATCTATATTGCTCATTCATTAACATATATCTTTAATGACTGAAAAGAAAAAGAAAAAGAAAAAAATGAATGTGAAATGCTCACCTAATAACAGTCATCATCATTCCTCGACATCATTGCCAAGAACAGCCTACCCCCCCTCCCTCTCCCCCCTCCCCCTCCTGCTCATCACGAGTCTCTGACACCTCTCACCACATCCCTCTCTCGCTCTCCATCTCCACTGACGTCAAACTCGCTAGACCCCTATACCCCAACCCTCAATACATAACCTTTTCGTAATATCGCCACCCTTCGCATCTATTCTTATCTCAATTATCTTGAGAGAGTTTTGTACATTTAAGCTCATCTCCTCCGCGCACCTTTTCCGCGCGCTATCCACGACTAAACTGAATGCGCGTCCTCCACGGGTCTGTTGTGTTCCGACCCAGATATAGTGGCCAGATAAGCGAATCGATCTTTAGCGGAGACCTAACAAGTGACAAAATTATCAGAGCATACATCCATCTACAAAGACGACAACTCCTATCTCTCACATCACTTAATATCACTTAGAACTTTAATGCGACAGTCTAAACGTATATCCGCACAATTGTCTACTAATCATAAAGGTTACAAGAGGCTGAAGTATATTTATACATAACTGATTATTAGGAGTATAGTAAATAAATATAATAATAGAATAGTATTTATAGCTTTTTTGTGATTTGTAAATGAGCGGATGTTTATCCGAATGAGTTTATACACTTGATGCCCGGCCCGTACGCATATGCTGAATAGTGCCAATGTGATTATCATAGTGAATGATATATGTATAGTTGATAGTAAAATATAATGTAGGATCATATTCGGATTAGTTTACGCTCATAGGATAGATTATAAGTAATAATAAATGAACTGATCGAGGGCGGGCTGTGAGATATATCCCATCATGGAAACAAGTGTATTAATTGCTTAATTCAGTATATACATGTATATTATTTTTATTTATCCAATAACTACTCAACTGAACCTTATCATTATGTATAACTAAATTATATATGCACTTGACTGAATAGCTTGGAAGATAATGAAACCCTTCTATGTAATGAGAGTCATATATTCATATAGTAGCCAGTATATCACACTGATATGCATAATATGTAGATACTGGATGAGACAACCAGTAGTCACATCAGTGCAGAGCGTGTATAAATACTGTACAGTAGCTATCAGATCACCACATCGACTAGTCACAGCTACAGCACATACAGCACACAGCGATCATGCCAGTGAGCACACACAGACACACGACAGACATCCACACACACACACCACACGACACACCATCCAGCACCCATGCTAGTATTTCTGAAAACGATTGAGATATACACAGAGAACCACAGTAAGATATATCATATCGCTGCAACATATTGAACTACTTCATACGCAGCGACTCTCCTTCTCGACCACCCGTATGAGGGCACCGATGAACATGCGCGGCGAGTTTAAAACTGCAAATGAGATTTACCCCCCTTTCCACCGTGCCAACCTAGAACGAGAAAGAGGCCGAGAGAGGCGAGTCACGGCTTATAATAGTAATTCCGGTAAATTATGGTATCTATTCCTTCCAATAATAACGACCATACCTATTGAAGCTCTATAGTCTCGTGTCTCTAAATCGTTTCACGAATTAGAGTGTGATGTGTTATGTGTGTTGTGTGTGTGTGGTAGTCAGTGTGGTGTGTGTCTGGTGTTGTGGTGAATGTGTGAATTGTCTTTTTTGTGGGGTTAATCGGGACTAGGTTTTCTTGATTATGTGTTGATGTGTGCGATGTATACATTCCTGTTTCTCTTTCCTCCGTTCCTATAACTCGCAGGAATATCTTCTCTCTTCAGCAAGTTCATCTTCCCCAAGCCATCGTCAATCATAATTAGTACTAATGAGGTTCAGTGAGTGTGGAAAAAAAAAACGAACGAGAATTTTTGACGACAACCTCACAGCCCCGCCCCGCCTCGTCTCTAATCCGCGACACGAATCCTCATTCCACATCACATAATCATTCCTGAAACCACATTCTCTCCCAATCGCGGCCGGGCATCAGAAACTCGGAACATCCGCCTCTTTCATAAAACGCATAAAGACTCTTTTTTCTATCCCATAACGTTGAAATCTTCGCCCTTAAACGCATTTGTAGAAGGTGTTGACCCTTCGTATGTCCAGGGGCGTGAGGGACGAGCCGCCGAGACCGCCCGCCACAGGCAACTTCGGGACCAGCGTCGGGCGCCTTCGGGTCTGGGGGGGAGGGGGGAGGATGCTAGTACGCTTAGATAATAGAAGAGGGAGGTAGATAGACAGGGAGAGAGGAGGGGAGGGAGAAGGAGAGGGAGAGGAGGAGAGGGAGAGGAGAGGGAGGAGAGGGAGAGGAGAGACGAGGAGAGAGAGGAGAGAGAGAGAGAGAGAGAGAAGAGAGGAGAGGAGAGAGAGAGAGAGAGAGAGAGAGAGAGAGAGAGAGAGAGAGAGAGAGAGAGAGAGAGAGAGAGACAGACAGACAGACAGACAAACAGACAACATGGAGAAAAAGAGTGAGAGAGAGAAACAGACAGAAAGGGAGGGAGAGAGAGATAGAGAGAGAAACAAACAGACGGAGAGAAAAAGAAAGAAAGAGAATTTCTACATACACAATATAGTGTACATACAAGTAGGGTTTGACGATTATACACAAATACAGAAAGTAAGCACAAGCGAAAAACCGTAAATGCCCTTGGTATGACATTACTATGATTTTTTACCACTCAATAATGGTTTTTTCTTCTAATTATTCTTTCTTATTTTTCTTTTTTTTTTTCTTTATTCTTTTCTTGTTTTTTTTCTTTTCTTTTTTTTCGTCTTTTCTTTTTTTCTGTTTTTTCTTTATTTCTTTTTTTTCTTTTTTTCTTTCTTTTTTTTTTTTCCCTTCTTATTACTTTTTTTATTTTTTTTCTTCTTTCTTCTAACATGGGCTTTGAATTACGTATAAAGATATTGTTATGTGTTGGATCGCCAGCGTTTATGTGTGTGTGTGGTTGGTGTGTGTGTTGTGTGTTGTGTGCGTGTGTGTGTGTGTGTGTGTGTGGTTTGTGGTGATGGTGTGTTGTTGTTGTGTGTCGTGTGTTGGTGTGTGTGTGTGTTGTGATCTGTGTATGTGTGTGTGCTTGTAGTGGGGGGAAATTATACCTAGCTTGCAACATGTATATGTTCACATGTACGCATAGAAAAATGTGTATGTGCGTGTGCATTTGACTCACAACCATGGCCTTGGAGGCACGACAGGCACTCACCTCCGAGAAAGTGTAGCGCCCGTAATGCATTAATGGATTTGTAGTCGTAGGAACATCCAGGCTGCTGTGACCGAAGGTCGATCCCGTAGTTCTTCTTGCGTCTGCGAGAGAGGCTCCAGTTACAGTTAGATGCGAAATATAGTGTATATATGATATATATAATAATATAGTATATATATCATATATATATATATATATATATATAATATAGATATATAGAGACAGAACAGAAGAAAGAGATGTGTTATGTTTTTTTTGGTTTTTTTTGTTAGATCTGGCCGTTGCGTTTTTGGTGTTTTTTTTTTTTTTTGTATTTTTTTTTTGTTTATTTTTTTTTTTTTTTTTTTTTTTTTTTTTTTTTTTTTTGTTTTTTTTTGCACATTTTTTTGTTTGTTTTTGGGTTGATGTGTGTGTTTTATATATTTAGTATATAATATATATATATATATATATATATATAATATTATATAATAATATATAGATATATATATATATATATAATATATATATATATATATGTATATATATATGTGTGGTGTGTTGTGTGGTGTGGTGTGTGTGTTTGTGCGTGTGTGTGGTGGTGTTGTGGGTGTGGTGTGTGTTTGGTGTGTTTGTGGTGTGTGTGTGTGTGTGTGTGTGTGTGTGTTGTGTGGCTGTGTGGTGTGTGTGGTGGTGTGTGGTGTGTGTGTGTGTATGTATGTTGTCATGTATGGTTATTATATGTATGTATGTATGTATACACGTACGTATGTACATACAAATATATGTGTGTAAAAGTAATGTTGATGCTCATAAATAAACACAATATATGCTCAGATATATTCACCAAACGCCCACGCCCAACCCAGACAAGACGTGTCAGAATCACCTTCTCGAATATTTTTCCATTTGACCTGAATATAAGTCCCTCGATCCGGCCGCGTGTGCTCATGCAGGAACCCAGCGGCATGCAGGATTTCGTGCATGATCTTGCCTCGGAACCTGCATCCTAATCCTAGGTTTATTATCACCTACAAGATGACAGGACAGGAAAATCAGACATGTCATTATTATCTATCTATCTATCTATCTATCTATAATTTGCTCAAGAAGGGGTCATGCGTAAATAAGGAATCTTCTACAGTTATGAGAAACGTAGCACAAAAATCGTCATGCATGGAGGAGGAATCTACTTCAAGAGTCATGCATAGATAAGAGATCAATCTCTAAAGATATCATGTATAGGCGAGGAACCTGCGTCAGAAGAGGTCCTGCATAGAGAAGAAATCTACTTCAATAAACTATTTAAGGTTTATAAAGAGCTACACTGAAAAAAAAGATTTATACCACCAAAGGCGTCAGGCATATATAAGGAGTCTACTTTAGAAGTCAGATATAGATAAGAAATCGATTTCGGATGTCATGCACAGATAAGATATCTACTTCAGAAATCCAACATAGATAAGAAATCTGCTTCGGAAATCCAACATAGATAAGAAATCTACTTCATAAGCCATGCATAAATAAGAACCCTGCTTCTGAAGTAGATATCTTATCTGTGCAACATATATAAGATATCTACTTCAGAAATCCAACATAGATAAGAAATCTGCTTCGGAAATCCAACATAGATAAGAAATCTACTTCATAAGCCATGCATAAATAAGAACCCTGCTTCAGATGTCATGCACAGAGAAGGAACCCGCTTCAAAATCCATGAACAGATTAAAGAACCTCCCCCAAAAGTCATGCACAAAAAGGAGAACCTCCGCCACCAAAAGTCCCACAAAAAAGGAGAAACCTCCCCAATAGTCCATGCATAAGAGTAATGCAGAACCTCCCACAATCACATGAACCAATACGTCATGCACCAAAAAAAGTGAGAAATCCTCCCCCACATAAGTCCTTTTAAATAGACACAAAAAGAGAACCTGCACCCACAATCAGCCTAGTGATGACTCACAAAAATAATGAGAACCTCCCCAAAAGTCGCAGGTCATATGCACAAAAAGAAGAGAATACTCTCCCCCAAAAAAGCCCAATGCACAAAATAAGGAGACCTCCCCCAAAAGTCATCCGTGCACTAAGAGTGAGAGACCTCCCACAAAAAATCCTCATATGAATCGTTTTCTATCAACTAAAAAAGTTCACATGCGCTCAAAAATTTGCGAACCCAATCCTTCCCACAAATTAGTTACCATGCACAAAAAATAATTACCTCTCCCCTATATAGCTTCCATCACCCAAATAAAGGAGAACGCCTCCAGCCTTAAAAGTATCATGCAACAAAAAATGAGAACGCGTCCCAGCTAACAAGTTCTAACATATGTTGCAACAAGAAAAGTCGAAGAAGCCTTCATCCACTAGAAAAATCTCCCTTTATGACAAAAGTCATTTCTTAGCGACATCAAAATACGATGCGATTTATGAACAGATGATCATCGGCCACACCAAAAGTCATGCACAAAAAGGAGAACCTCCCACACAATACACAAAAAGTCATGCCACAAAAAAAAGAAACTCGGACATCATGATTAACAGGTGATGCCAAACGCCTCAAAAATAAAGGATTCTTTCGTCCTTCTCTTCTCTTCTGGGCCGGAATATTTCCATTCCACAGAACGACGGAGCCCTCCAGCATCCGCCACGACCCTCCTTCAGTGATTCCACAGATACTGGCGCATCTCAATTATGCACCGTGCAAGAGTCTTGGTTAGCGTTAAGCGAGAGAGTATTGGGAGGACGAGGGCATAGGATTATGCTGAAATCTTGTATTACTGTGTATATATAAAGATAATAGGAATTCTTATTTACTTTGATTCTTGAAATGGAATTTCTTGCTAGCCGATCGGTTTGTTTTGTTGCCCTGGCAGCGACGTTTCTTAACTGGTCCTATAATGTTCCCATTTATCATCTCTGTTAGTCCTGATGGATCCCAAGTCTGCCCTCGTCAGCCTAGTTCATATGTTGTGTGTCTTTGTCTCTGCACATCCTGTACTGTCGATGTCTCATATTGCTCTTGAACTCTTTACTGCTCTCTTCCCGTCTCTCCTTCCTTCTCCTCTCTCATCGTTCTCTCTCTGCGCTAGCCTTGCTTCTCTCTCTCTCATATTTCTGACTGTCAATTGCTCGTCTCGTTCTCCTCTTCGTCATCTCTTCTCTCTCTCCTCCCGTCATACTCTTCGCTTGCCCCTCTTCTCTCATTTCTATTAGCTTCTACATACTTCTGCCCTCCTCTTTCATCTACTTCTTCTAACCTTCTCCTTCTCAGTCTCTTTCTCCCACATCTCTGATTCTACTACTTATACCTCTCTCTACCGGTTCTTCTCTCTATTGCCTCCATGTCTATTTTCCTTCTTTACCACCTAATCCTTATATATGTGAGTAGAAAAAAAAATAGAACATGAGCCAAAAGAAAAAACAGCAGTACAGATTAAAAGGATTGATAAAACACGACAGATATCAGACACGCATCTATATTGTTACTAATTACTGAATTTAAATATATTCTTAATAAGTATGGCACTCCTGTGATCCAGAATATTGATATAACCTATGGACTTGTTGAAAAAAAACAGTGACATGCACCCAGATTTTTCCGTACGTTTTGTTAATAAGCCGATAATTTGTTTCTCTTTTTTATCTCTCAAATTCCATTTCCAAAACAAAATAATAAAACGACTACAAATATGTCGATCTAAAGAGCCTTTCCATACTAATAAAAATATAATCATAAATAAACAGACAAAAATTGCATTAATAGTGCACCAATGAGTTCAAGTGAAAACAAGGAATTTCTTCTGCACCCCATCTAATTGCGGGCGACGGGGGAAAAGAACGTTCTTACAATTGAGTGTAATCCCCAATAGATAGAGAAATGGGTTAATGTGCTTACCCTCTGAACGGTGAGGACGAGGTTGCTCCTCTGTGTGGGTGTGATATGCGGTTATAGATGATTGTCTCGTCAGACATTCAACCGTATCCTCCTCACAAGCCCGGGTAAACAGGCGTCTCATATTAATACATCATCATAGGGCAACCATAAAGCATTTATATTATCGTTTCGCCTTTTGCATCTATGTTCATACTCTGTATGGTCAGAGATTTCATTATACTAAGATTATGCGAGACACGACTGGATTATTGTTTTATTTGTTGTTGTTCTGCTTTTTATCCAGATCGCAGATCCAGTCCGCCGATAACTGGTACCTTTTGGTCTGGTATTGTATAACATGTTACTTAAGTCTTATATAGAATTATTTTATTCCCTCTCTTTATTTTAGTAGTATCTACATTAGTCTATGGTAGTCCATGTTAAGAGCCCCGACGTACTCCAGCCGCCGACTCGTATTATCATACCTCAGGATTTTCATAATGAACGCAGATAAAACTGTCAATTAATTCAATTAACGCGCGCCGATAATATTTCAGTTCTTATCTTCTATAATATTTGAATTTATGAGCGTATATTAATAAAAAAGCTAAAATAAAAAACAAAAAAAAAGAAAACAATAAGAAAAAGAAAAAAAAAATATAAACAATAATAAACAAAAATAAAAGAGAACAAAAAAGCTCATAAACAAAACTACGAATATAAAACGATAGAACTTAATCCGAACTTCGACACTCTTGACGACTCAACTAATTCAGAATCTGACTAGCATTACGTCCGTTTACTAAGTGTTCGCGCCCGGGATGCCTTTTGCCAAGTAACCCCTGACTCACATTAAGGGAACTCCAGTTGCCCAGCGAAATTTATGGATTGTATTGACCCTAACATGGAGACGCTAAACGTCGCTGAATGTGTGTGCAGTACAGGCCAGCACAGCACCACCACACAACCTACCATCAACACCTACGAACACGCATCATGGGATCACACACCCAATCCCATACTACACAATGTTCGCACGCCCTACTGTCACAATCGAACACACACAACCCACGCGCACGCTTACGAAAGTACGACACCACACCACAATGAGCGCACACATGTCTAACAACCACGGTGTAGATTTGACTCGCTGATGCCATCAGCGATACACGCACACACACACCACACCTTTCAGCTCACAGAGCAAGACTCACACCCACCACACCACAACACAACAGACGCACACTACGCACTCCATCCACGCAGCATCTACTTCGCCAACGTAGCCTACGTATCCGACTATTCCAGCTACTCGCGCAAGCCCGCTACTGCACCCTAACACCAGCAATCCCTAAATATTCACACCCGCAATATTATAATCAGCTGATGAGATAGGTTATGTGTGCAAACATGATCCTAAGACGTGGGTGATGGAGTCAGGGACTGAGAGCGCGAGTGCGGATCTAGAGAGGCGTCTGCGGCTTGCATCGATTGGTAGGGATGACGGCAAGGGTAAGGCTGGTGGTTCTGTTTGATGTGGTCAGGGCAGGCACAAAGAGGCGACTGTGGTATGTTGGCCGAGCTTACGGTCTTTGCGAGTGAATTACGCATTTATCTCCATTCAGTAGAGTCAGTGCGCTTGTCAGGCGTTCGGCCAAAAAAGGTCAATGGAATAACCTGCTAACTCTAATCTTCCCAATGCTGACAAAAAGATTCGGTGCCTCCGAGCCCACGGCCACTTCATGATTTTTGGAGAATGTTGACCAAATCCGCTTAAGGGAGGCAATATGAGGTGCTGGGAAGGTAAGTAGTGCATTAAGAACAACATATTCACAACACAAAGATAAACTCGTAGTTTTCCATTGACGGCAAAAATTACCACCCTGCCCTATTTTGCTTCTTCTCTTTGCTGAGTTCCATTAAATTCTAGGGGAGGTGTCAACTTGAATAGCATCTAATTGTACTGCTTAAATTTGAAAGTAAACGTTACCATAATTATAACGTCCTCCGAAAACTCGCTAGGTATGTGGCGAGTTGCGTGGCATGTGCGCTCATTTTTGAAGGAACTGACCGCAGCCATATTTTAGTTGACAGTTAAATCTTCTCAGTTTGTTAGTTAAAGATCGGAAAGGAAGACACCTGGCCTGTTCGCTCGAT